CTAAAAATCTTTAAATATTGTTCTTCAATAATTTTTTATTCAAATACTATCAACTTTACAGAAAAATTATTTATTATCTTTTCATAGAACTCTAAGAATTTTTTCAGAATTTTTATCAACTTTATAGCACTGCATTTTCTTATTTAGAAATACACCAGAAAATACGGTATTAAAAAATTCTGAAAAAATTCTCAGAACTTTATAAGAAGAAAATAAATAATTTTTATCTCTTGCTGTTTTTCTGTAAAGTTGATAGTATTTGAGTAAAAAATTATTGAAAATCAATATTTAGCGATTTTTAGTCATTAACATCTCGTTAACCATTGCAAAAATTGCAAAATGGTAGAGGACTTTTTGACTTAGTTTAATCTGCTCTACCTGTTCAGGATGGGTGATGCCGAATTTTAGGGACACCCTGTATATATGCAAAAAGAATGATACACTAAAAAATTTTTTTAATGAAAATGGATAAACTAGAAAAATTCTGATCAATTAAAATTCTGGTTATATCTCAACTAGAATTTTAATAAATTCAACCAGAGAGAGAGAGAGAGAGAGAGAGAGAGAGAGAGAGAGAGAGAGAGAAAATTCTGATTTATCTATTTTCAATCAGAGTTCCAATTAATACAACCAAGACTGCTTTTTCAAACCAACAGTACAGTTAGAAACTACAGACTTTTTGATGGCTACGCTCGTATGATCGCGTTTCCCAACAATTCTCACGATATACGTATATTTCTCGTTGAGTATAAAAAGGTACAAAAATTCTCATAATCGAAAAATTAAAAGTTATAAATAAAATTCCCCAAAAATATAAATATATCAAGTAAGAAAATTGACTAATGAGACTGTAAATTGTATACAACTATTTCATATAAAAAAACTTTATCGTAATTAACGATACAATAGATATATAATATAAATGACATGTTTCGGCTAATCTTTTAGCCATCAACATAGAGTGACCAGATGCAATGCACGTGAAGTAGGACATCTGTCATGGAAAAGTAGTACAAAAGTAGTACACTACCATTTTTTTCAGACTAAGGAACGCAAAAAAAAGGAAATAAAGAAGCAGATATTGTTTGATCTAAGATTTGTATTATTTTGTATTATTTTGTATCCTTTTAAACTTTTTTATGTAAACAACTTTAAACAACTTTATGTAAAAAGTTTCTAAACTTAAAATGAGATAGATAAAAGAAAAAGCGAAAATGCTGAGTGCAAAAAGTACAAGCAACGCGAATAAACCTAATGTCTAATCCTGATAGCAAACCCTACGGAAACAGATTGGTAGTAGGCCTTGCTACCAATGTTTGATTGCAGAAAGACAACAAATTGTACACGGAGTTTGTATTATCTAACATTGTCAGTAAATTGCTGTCAGAAATATGAAAGCTTGCTAAATATGGTTTGCTAGCAGATTGATAGCAGAGACCGAACAAAGTCTTGCGTAACTTGACGGTGGATTGAAAGCAGAACCTAGATTTGAGCAAACTCTGTTCGATTTCTGCCACCAATATGCTAATATAGCCTGTCAGCAGGCTTTGTCGACAAATCTACAGTCAAATGCGGACACAGATGGTTATGGTTTTGTAGTCAAAATCTGATCGAGTTTGCTGCCAATTTGGCCCCAAATTGTTAACATTTTGCTATCAGGACATCTTATGTAAATCAATATGGCCATTTTATGCTGGATACTCATTGGTTTAGCGATCTTAATGTATTATTCCATGCTTATCCTATACTACGTGTTAATATATTTCATGTGTGACAGTGTCATAATGACTTAATAACTTTCGATCCCCTCGTTCGCTCCCAAGTCCCAAAAGCAGTAGGAAAAGAGTACACATTGAAAATCCGCCCGGACGCCCCCGGACGCCCCCGGACGCCCGAAAAAAGAGTACACCCAGGAAAAAGAGTATGGATGGTTATCCTACATCAACAATATATAAAATATAAAATCGCAACTCAAGAATTAAAAAAAACTTATAACAAAGTTGTAATTACATACATACATCGTAATCACAAATTGAATTAGATTAAAAGTTTATACAAAGTGATAAGTAGATGAGTCAAACAGTTGCCTTGTCAGAGTTTAAATTCTGACATGGCAACTGTCTGACACATTTACCCTGGTAGCAAGCTGACGTCAAAAAGACGTCATTTGACGTCAAAAAGACGTCATTTGACGTCAAAACGACGTCAAAATGACGTAGCTTTCTACCTGGGTACTTGTCACTTTATATAAATTTCTAATTCAATTTATGACTACGACCTCAAAAATTAAAAAAATATTTATAGCAAAGTGTGTAATTATATATTTTTGAGTTGGAATTTTATATTTTATATATTGCTGTTATCATACATAATATGGCCTTAAATATTATATCTTATACGAATATATTTATCCGTTGCGTACCTGTAAGATCATTTGATCACTTTATATGTAATATTCAGCCTTTCAACTAAATTTGAAATTACTTTCTAAAAAAGGATTGATTAACTGCCTCGAAAGGATCATGGCCATAAACACGCCTTAATAAGTCTTAAATATTCTTTTATATATAAGCGTTTGCTGACAATGGCTAAAAGATTAGCCGAAACGTAAATCGTTTGTATTATATATGATGAATTATATGTGATTCTAATGTATCGTTAGTTACAATAAAGCTTTTTATATGAAATAGTTACGCATGATTTACAGAGATAATTCCAATTAGTCTATTTCCTTAGGATGGGATTTTATTTGTGTGTTTTGTCGTACAACAAATTTTTCAAGCTTGTTGATTGGCTGTAGGATAGAGAGATCCGAATATTCTCCCTCTCTATTCTGTACATAATTGTCGAAAAACGCACAAATAAAATCCTTATTTCATATTTAATAATCGATCTCGATAAATCTTTGCGAGTTTATTTATAATTCTATCCAAAATAATTACAACAATCTTTTAAACGTTAAAAAGTCAGGAGAATACACTCATAGTGTTAATACCGATAAGCTTATCTCATACGTACATTATAAGATAATACTACAGACTGTAAGTTTGTAGATAATATATAACCCAGATAGCACGTACGTTTATCCGTTTTTTGTCATACGACAAATTTTTTAGGTGTATTAATTGATTGCAGAACAGAGAGGTTCTTGGATGTTTCTATTTTATAGCCAAATCGACAGGTTTAAAACATTTGTCGTATGACAAAAACAGATTAATGTAATATTAGTCTTAAAGATGTCGGTTATCCCGATTTTAGACATATGTAGGTACTCTATTTAGGATTAAACTCCCCGGTAAAAAATTTTTCATGCATGGATATGTACAAATATGTACAAACATACATAAATATTCATAAATACGTATAAACATATATGAAATATGTCCATACGTGTTCATCCCTCTTTCTTTTGTAAAATTACTTTTTAGTGTAATAGAAATAATAATAGTAATGTAAAACATTAAAAATAATTAAAAGGGTAATTTTCACACTATGTTTTAGAAAAAATCAAGTTTGAAGAAATGTAAAAAAAATTACTTATACACAATTATGCATAATTGTATATGTAATTATACAGAAGCAATTTTTTTTACATTTTTTCAAACTTGATTTTTTCTAAAACAAATAGTGTGAAAATTATCCTTTTAATTATTTTTAATGTTTTACATTACTATTATTATTTCTATTACATTAAAAAGTAATTTTACAAAAGAAAGAGGGATGTATGAACATGTATAATATGTAATATTTCATATAAAATTATGTATATTTATGAATATTTACACATGTTATGTATGTTTTTATACATATTTATACATATTCATGCATGATAAAATTTTTATCAGGATATTATTATCTGAAATATCAGGGTTGGGTAGTGACAAGTTAAAAAGCTAAAAGTAAGTTAAAAAGTTGAAAAGTTAATAAGTAAATAATTTTAACTTAACTTAGTTACATTTTAGACTCTTAACTTTTTAACTTTATTTAGTTACATTTTATCGATAACTATTAACTTTTTATTTAAATTTTTTGAAGTTAAGTCTCAGACTCAAACAAACTTCATTAGAACATACTTTATATTTTATTTAAAAGTTTTGTTTGTATATATTATTTACATTATATATTGATTTCAATCTAGCAAAAACCGTATATTTTAATGTATTTAGTTTTTGATAGATTGAAATCTATATATATATATATAACAGTATATATTTAAACAAAAAGTTTAAATAAAATATAGCGTATATTCTAAATGAAGTATATGTTTCGTCATTTCCGTTATTTGTAAGACTCTGAAATCATAAAATAGAAAGAAATTTAACTTTTAATTTTTCAATTACTTTTTTTTATTAACTTAACTTTTAATTCAATTAATTTCATTATACATTAATTTGTATCTTAACGAAGTTAAATTTTCAAGGTTATTAACTTTAACTTAACTTAGTTAAAAGAAAAAATTAACTTACCCCCACACAACCCTGTGAAATACATATTAGATTTGTAATTCTGGAAATTTGCTATAATGTTACATATGATAAAAACTTGAAAAACATTTTAAAATTTGGCTTGATTTCTCGTTATTAAAAGTGTCAATTAAAAAAAATAAGATCTTGCGAGATCTTGTACGTCTTGTGCTTCCTTTTCGAAAAATAATAATATTTTATCATACATTCTTCTAATTGTTGCAAATTGGATTTTTTTACAAACTACATTCTGTAGTTTATATAGATCGGTATTACATTACTGTAAGTTTGCAGAAAACAATTTAATTATAATTTGCGACAGTCAGATTTCCGTCGCGAAAAAAGACTCATATTTCTGTATTTTGCAATATTACACTGCAAATAGTGCAACGATGTTTCACTTCGCCGTAAACATTCACCCACGAGTGTTCTTTGTGCCCTTGTAACTCTGCGTTGATCGAAGGCATTTAATCAATGTGCCGATTCGTCGGTCGCAAAAACCGTTCGCGCGGCGATCACGCGGGCGCGAGTCGCATGAAGTGTGGTGCGTTTTGATACTCTCGATGTGCAGCGTCTCGCAGCGATCTTCACTCCATTCAGAAATCGCGGCGCATGCCGCCGCGTACGAAGGATCATATTTCCCAGTGAAAAAGCACGATCAGGATACGCGCGCGCACAGTACTGGGAGGTTGGCGGAGTACTAAAGCGTCTCCCGTGTCCGAGCGAGTCTTCTCTCGTCGAGAACCACGCATCGTCCTCGGCATTGGCGCGACGCGAGTCAAAACGCCCAAATGTTGCATTGAAAGCTCCATGTGGAAGATATTGTATGCGCGGTACACTTCTGGGATTCTTTTTGCTTGAGGAAGGTTCCTTCTCATGTTGTTATTCTTACTAAAAGACGCATATCAAAAAAACGGAAAAAGAATTGATCAATTCAAAAGTGTGTACAAGCGACATTCACACAATTAAAAGATCAATGCAATATTACTATTGCATTGCTTTTCTTTTTTTTTAAAGGTTCATTTACTGCAATAACTATAAAGTTGTCATTTAGTTGTTTACAAAAAAAAGAACGAAAACATAAAAAAAGAAAAAAATTAAAAAACATATTTTTAAAAAACTTTTATTTCTATATATAATATCGCATAATCAGTTATTACATCAAAATTGCATATTTTAAAATTAATATTACAACGTTTTAATGGTTCAAAATATTTAAATTTATTTTTTGGAGTATTTTGTATTTTGAGTTGTATTATTAGGTTTGTTATAATGTGTACAATTTGTGATAATGGCTGTATTCAGCAGATAAAACTGATAAGTAAACGCTCAATGATTTTTTAATATATTTTTACACTTAGATCTAGCGAAGAGAGAGAATTAAAAGCAAGAACTAATCACATCAAATTAAAAATTACTAACCGCTCATTTATCAGTTTTCTCTTCTGAATGCACTTAAATTGATATATTTCTAGCTACAATATATTGTATAGCGTTCTACGCCAATGATGTCGCACGTCCGTTTCGTCAGTGCTGCGCAACCTTCTCGTTATTATCATCACATTATCATTTACGAGTAGCTTATTCGTATGTGTGATCGCGTATGCGTACTATTTAAATATGAATGAACCGCATTGAATCAATAATTGAACTTCTTATCGTGTTTCTATCAATATCAGATCTATTTTTTGCACTATATATCTATAACATGTGAAAATTCGAAAGGCAAATTGAATTTAAACAAAATAGCATTAAACACTTTTAGGTCGCTATTTTATTTGGTACGTTTTGTCATATGACAAAAACGCACAAAAATAAAAAATAGCACCTTTACAAATTATTAAAACTACAAAATCTTATCTCTTCTTTTCTTTTTACATATACAAGGTGTTTCTGAAATAACACCTACTAATTATACAGTGTTATTTCTAATAAAAAAACTGAATCGAAAAGTCCTCTCCATTTTACAATTTTCGCAATATTTTTTTTTACCCAATGAGCAAAATATTTAAAATTGATATATAAGACAACTTTTACAGTTTAAGAGTGTTTTTTAAGACACATCTTCAAAATATTTCACAAAGAACACTGAAAGATATCTTAAAATTGTCTTATACATTGATTTTATCAGTTTATTCGGCAATGTTCAGAAATTAACATCTCGTTAACTATTGCGAAAATTTCAAAATGGTAGAGGATTTTTCAACTCAGTTTTTTATTAGGCATAGCACTGATTAGTAAATGTCATGAAACACCCTGTATATAGACAATATTTAAGGTTGATAACTTTATTTTTTGTTAAATCAGTAATCATTGCATATTTCCAAAATATTTATTTCTTTATTCCTATTTGTTTAAGTCTTGCATATACCTTAACGATAAAATACAAATAAAAAGATATTTATTTTATTTAATATAAATTTACTCAAACATGTAAAAAAAAACTCTAATTACTTATTATATTTTCAGCTTCCAGTAAACGAGAATGGATTGAAATAGATTTAGATTTTTCATAAGTACGCATTTGCGTATCATTTAAAAAAAATCAAACAAATCATTTTTAATTTAAATGCGTTTTTATTCATTTAGGAATTACATGAAGAGAGAGAGAGAGAGAGAGAGAGAGAGAGGGGGGCACATTTCTATGCCTTTCAATCTAAAAATAATATCAGATTTTTTCTATACTTCGTGAATATTTTTCAATTCAAAATTTTAAATAGAAAATTCGATTTTTCAATCCAATTGAATCTAAAAAAAAAGTTTTCCATCCAATTGAGTTTAAAAAAAGTAAAAATGGACCATAAATGAATGAATGAAAAATATTTATTTTTCATTCATTTATATATATATATATACGCAGTTTTCATGTAAATTTTATAATATCCTTTTTTTATATCTTCAGCCGAAAAGACAGGGGCATCTGCCGTGTGTAGATTTTTACAGTCGGGAACACTCGAGAATGAAGTCTTCCTTTATTTTTAGGAAAATCAGACATTAGCACCGATTATGCTGGTGTTCCCAATATTCACTATGAATGTATTGTAAACCTAATTAGTATCTAAGCAGCACGGCAGCGCTGCAAAGCGCTAAAAAAGCACTTATATACACTTTTTAGAGCTTTTTTAACACCTTGTAAGTATTGTGTGCTATAATGTAACGTGAACTATATAGGTTTTCAATATTCAACGGTGTATATGAAATACGACTTCGCTCTTCGGGAAATCCACCATTTGAGAGTCACTGTGCGGCAAGCTTCCGCCGCTACGGCGTGTATTTCTCCCCTTTCTAATCCACGCCGCGGGTCCCCCGTGTGTGGCCTTATAAAAATGAATTTTGACGCCAGCGCACAAGATGTAGAACGGACGAAATAGGTAAAATTAAACGATTATAGCCGGCTCAATTCTTCTTTGAATTAGTGAAACGAATTACGAATGGTGAGACTTTTCTCCGATAAAAGTCGATATAGGTAGGTCGAGACTTGGAGCATCATAAATTATCGTCGCGGCGTGGATATTCTGTTGTATTCTGTTAATATAATAACATGACGAAATATGATGTATAACATTATTGACAGGGGAAAAATTATTGCGTAATTGAGAACGCTAATTACACTAACGCGCATCGATCAAGAAGATAAGACGAATTAACGTTTCATAAATTTGATAAAAGGTATCTTTTTCTTTTTCTTTCTTCAGTAACGCGTCCCCTGCGAGTGAGTTCGATTTGGCTGGTTGTACGAGAGGCACTATTTATATTTTGAGCCTAATAATAAAAAAATAATAATTTGTCATTTATTGTTTTTCAAAATATTCTCCTTTATGATCTATACACTTTTGCATGTGTTCGAACCACTTGTCAAAACATTTTTTCCATTCCGCTTGAGACACCTCCAAAATATGGTCTTTGAACGCATCAACGGCTTCTTCTGCCGACGAAAATCGTTGTCCACGCAATTTATTCTTGACGTTCGGGAACAAAAAGAAGTCATTTGATGCCAAATCAGGACTGTACGGCGAATGACCCATTAATTCGATTTTTGAGTGCTCAAATAGTCGGTTGTTAGACGAGATGTGTGACAGCTGGCATTGTCTTGATGAAGAATGATCCGGCGGCGCTTGTTTGTTTTCCTTATTTCACTGAAGACTTCCGGCAAACAAATGGTTGTGTACCATTCAGAATTGACCGTTCTACGTTCCTCTAAAGGCACTGTTGCCACATGACCAGTTTTTCCGAAAAAACAGGCGACCATTTGTTTCGAAGTGCTTCGAGCGCGAACAACTTTTGTTGGATTTGGTTCATCTTGAAACACCCATACAGTCGACTGCTGTTTAGTTTCCGGCTCATACGCATAGATCCATGATTCGTCACCTGTTACAATCTTATACACGTCTTTTGAAGCACCGCCATTGTATTTCTTAAGCATTTGTTTGCACCAATCGACACGAGCATCTTTTTGAGATTTTGTCAGATTATGTGGGATCCAACGAGAACAAACCTTTTTCACGGCTAAATGATTATGCAATATTTCATATATGCTGGTGGAACTAATGCCTAAGGTTGTCTCAATCTCACAGTATGTCACATGATGATCTTACATTATTAGTTATGCACAGCATCAATGTTTTCTGATACAACAACTGATTTTGGACGACCTTCACGACTTTCGTCGGTGAATGAACGGCGACCACGATTAAATTCGTTATACCAGCGTTTCACAGTGGCAAAGGATGGGGCTTTATCGCCAAAAGTGGAAGTAAGTTGATTGATGCACTCCTGTCTTGATAATCCACGTCGAAAGTTGTAATAAATAATTGCACGAAAATTTTCACGAGTTAATTCCATTTTTTCGCTGAGACACAATTTTCAAGTGACTGTAAACAATACAAATCGCGCTCAAATAACAAAACGTTCTGAAGAAGGTTATGATCAAAAATGTCAAACTTTCTAGTGGAAACGTCCGATGGCACCTGACATTCCTGACAACACTCAGTGTTGCCAAGGCTCAAAATATAAGTAGTGCTCCTCGTAGTACTATATGATGGCCCGTATTCAGAGCGAGCTTATATCGATAAAAGCGCGCTTTTATCTCTAGAATTCTATAGTATGTGTAATGTAAATTATAGCATGTTAGCGCGCTAACATGCTATAATTTACATTACACATACTATAGAATTCTAGAGATAAAAGCGCGCTTTTATCTCTAGAATTCTATAGTATGTGTAATGTAAATTATAGCATGTTAGCGCGCTAACATGCTATAATTTACATTACACATACTATAGAATTCTAGAGATAAAAGCGCGCTTTTATCTCTAGAATTCTATAGTATGTGTAATGTAAATTATAGCATGTTAGCGCGCTAACATCGTTGTAAGCGCATTCTGAATACGGGCCGATAAATATAGCAGAGTCAAATAAATTAGGTAATGGTTTGAAGTCAAAAATATAATCCGTATTCGAAATGCGCTTACAAAAAAGGTGTTTGTTCGCGCATCGCATGTTTCAACATGCTTTAACATACTTCTATCCCGATAAAAATAAAAATCGGAATAAATCGGATGTAACGGGAGAATAACGGAAGTATAAACAAAACTTCTAGAAGGCGAAAATTGGAATAATGAAATATAAAAGACGCATTTATGCTATGGACCTGCGCACAATAGAGGAACAAGAATTAGATATTAAGATTTCAACCTATTAGAAACCGTGTATTCCGATGTAATCAGTTTCTTATAGGTTAAAATCTTAATATCTAATTCCTGTTCCTCTATTGTGCTCAGGCCCTATCTCGTTGATATTACGGTGGTAACATATAATAATATCGAATATTTGTTTACATTAAGGCGCTGCGCACAATAGAAGGAATAAGGAATAAGGAATTAGGAATAAAGAATAAACAATTTCAACCTATCAGAAACCGTATATTCCGATGTATCTGATTTCTCATTAGGTGCATTCAGTACTACGATCGGTCACTGAGCGCTCAGTTGTATTTGTTTGGTTTGTATTTTTAGTTCTAACGGAATATGCCAATCAGATGCAAGAGCTCACTGAGCGCTCAGTGAACGGTTGTAGCACCCAATGGGCGCATTTAGCAGACATAATGCTGGATTCACACTGCATCCGATGTGCGTCGTACGACGCTCTGCAACCAATCAGAAAACAGGATTCCGATGGATTTTGCTTGGTATCATCGGAATTCTGTTTTCTGATTGGTTGCAGAACGTCGTACGACGCAAATCGTATGCAGTGTGAATCCAGCATTATTTCTGAAAATCTGAATCCATTTTAATTCACTCTCGTTTGCTGGATGTTGAGTCCACTGAATGTGCCCAATGTACATACATACGTACATACATTGGATCCAATCAAAGACATAGAGAATGGACTACACAATCCGTGTGTCAAAATGGTCAATAGGGATGAGAGGGACCGTGGCAGACGGCCATTTCTATCTCTTTCCATTCAATGGTGTAATGGGAGAAAGAATGAGAGGGAGATTGGCCGTCTCCCACGGTCCCTCTCTCTCATTATTCTCAACCATATTTGATACATTACTAATAGCGTTTTCGGCCCGATCGGGTTTGCACCAACCTGGGTTGGATTAATCTTTCCTATTGGTTGATGTCACACGCTCTACCAATAGGAGAGCGC